ACTTGTATGATATTCACCTGGATGTGATTTGTGTACTTGTTACGAAGCATTATTACCATTAGTAGTAGTATCATTACTATTGTTACTAGAATTTAATGTATTTAAGAGAAAAGAATTAAACCAAGATTATTTAATGAACTATCATTATTATTCGTATAACCCAACTTTGCGATGCATGATGTCATGTGCTTTATCCCATTAAATTCATCAGGAAAGCTTTCCTATATATGTACATCAGATTTAAAGGTTGAAAAAGTAGAGAATTTTTTAATATTTTATTGGATTAATTTGTTTGACTATTACATAAACTACCATTTTGCGAAAGTATAAATTTATTTATTAAAAATGCCACACTCTTATAAAATATCCAGCGGACATGACTGGCATGTGCCTAAAATATTGAGGTGCAGGCACTGGCACAGGCAGAAGAAGCATTGGTGACAAATCAAAAAAAGGGCATTTGGGCAATGGCACTAGTGCCTGGCATGATGCCAACAGCGCCCAGCATGGACACTTGCAGAATCCTACTCCTGATCTTCCTGCCTATCAAGTCAACATTTCGATTTCAGATATTTTCTGGGATCTCCAAATTGTTGCGGGAGCTCAAATGTTAGGGGTATAATATTATAGTTCTTGGTATAGTTGTCAGCAATAATTCTGCCATTGATTTATATAATATTCAACAAGAGGTTTTAGCTTCACAAAGTGTGTAATTTACAATATATTTGTTAGTCAGGATTCACATTTATGCATAATGTCAAATAGGGTTTAATTTAACAAAAAAATAATTAAATAAATTAAAAGATTTTATTAAATTAAAAAAATTTATTTCTTTTGACGTTTTCGTTTATTTGGAACCTTTTTCTTGGAAGATTAAATACATTTTAAAACCACAATCTCGAAGCAGTATAATGTCTCGTGTAACATTGTTAAAAAAAAATATTCATTATTCGTCTAAAAAGAATGTCAACAACAACAACATTAACAGATAGTCTGACAGAATTATCATTGAATTTAAATCAAAGCATTCAATGTATTCATCAAGTTACAATCGAACAAGAAGAAAAAAGTAAGAGTAAAATTAAATATTTCTAATAATTTAACAAGTAATATATATATAATTTAACATCATATACATATTATGGAATAGATACAATACAACAAAATATTCATAAATTCTTACAATCAGCCAAAAATTTAGAGATTTCTTTAACAAAAGTAATCTACGAAGAACGGCAAACACCAGAAATAGCTTTAAAACAAGTATTTTTATCACTACTATTTATTAATCATAGAATTTTCATTCTGAGAAAATTAACTTTTTTTTTCATAAAAAAGGAAATTGAAAGTCTTTCACAAACACTATCAAGACAAAAGGAAGTCATTACCAAATACACTGATTTGATGAGAAAATGGAAAAGAGAATTTGAAATCATTGAAGAAGAAAATGATGGGAGTTCCTCCTGATTCAAGAATTCTTTAGATTATTTCAATTAGAAACAATGTTTTTCAATAATATGAACTATCCCAATCAATTTTTTTTTACTAATTTATACACTTCATTTTCTTTTATCAAGTGAGTTTTTCCAATATCTTTTCTAAGATCTAAGATTTAAATCCTACCAAAATAGCAACTACAATAAGGTCAATTATTAATACCTTCAAACAAAAATTTATTGAGTATTTATATCATCATAATTATAAGTTATTCTTTCCCTTGACTATGATGATATAATGCATGATTAAAATTTTTGACTACTTGATATTTCAACCTTAAAAATAAAACTTTATCTGTCTCAAATTGGTACACATATTCCAACATCATACAAACTAGACAACTACTACAACCTTTATTCCAATCTAACTTCAACCATTTAGACTTCAAAAGAAAAAATAATGAATGATCAATCAATTTTATTTTATTAATTATGATTGCATTTTTACCATTTCGAAAGCAAGAATATTTTGTTGTAGATCCTTGGATTGGGGCTACACAATAATAATAAGGAATCTATTTGTTAAAAATAAACGCGACAATTTTAGATTTTTTTTACCTGAACTTTATTAATTATTATTAATAAACATTTTTAGCATATCATTCAATTTAATAGATGTCTTTGTCTTTTTCGAAAAGAAGATTAATCTAACCTTTAACTCACTTAAAGGATACAATGCAATTTAAACAGAGTAGGGAAGTAGAAGGCTCTGGATTTTATTAAAGAAGTTGCATTCGAGCTTTTTATCTTTTTGAAAAGCTTGTGGAGTCTCTCGTATGTTCGGATCTTTTCTAACTTTACCATGTTTAGTATGGTTATAAATCCATAATTAAGCGCGTAAAGACAATTCTATTAAGGAATTATAAAATTGGGAGGGAAAAGTTTTTTTTTTTGATCCTTCAAATCAATGGGAAGAAAATTTTATTTATTTATTTTTGTGAATCTCAGAGACTTGAATAGATAGGCACACATTATTGTTTCGAAATCATGTTCCTAAAAAAAATTTATTTCTACATGGTCTTGGTATCATTTATTACCTGTGTGATGCAATTATTTGTTATGTCAATGATAATATCAAATTTATTGCATAACCATCATAAACATTGTAATAGACATATAGTATATGGAGGCATTCATGTTCAAGGAAAAGATCAAATAGTAATAAAAAGCTGAGTGATGTTTATTTATTTTATTTAAGATAATAAAAATATACTGTATATCTAAGAAAATTGTCAGAGAAATTGCATAAATCTAAGACTGCAACACTATGTCCAATTAAGCTATCAAGCTATTAGGTTTGTGCATGATTTAAAATTCTTTCGTATTTAAAGCCTCATCTTTCTTCACTTATATAATCTATTGATTCTCTTTGTAGGTAACATTTTACAATTCAGATTATTTATCCTAATATATAATAATCATTATAGTGTTCCATGTCGCAATCCAAAAAAGGAAACCAAAGTGGTCGCAACCAGGTGTCGCAAACCATTTTTATATGTCGCAAATATGGTTGCAACCATCATCAAGAATTGCGACCAGCATCTATATTTAATCATTGTATGATTTATATAACATAGTTCCGGAAACAAAGGAAGCTTGATTATTTTGAAAATGTAATTTTTCTATAACAATAACATTTTCTATGGTTATTGTGTGTTCCTGATCAATAATATGTAGAAAAGTTCATTGGTAAAGAGAGTTAGTTAATTTTGATATCTTCCCATTTGGTACAACGACTGAGAGCAACAAGCTTGTCCAGGAGCGAATGAATACCTGTTGATCAAGGCAGACGGATATACTTTGCAAGGTTAACCCTTGTGTTTTGTGACTGTTATACCATAAGCATTCTGTGAACTGAGTTCTGCTTGCAGGGTTTCCATTGAGCATAAAATTAACCTTATGCTTGGAGAGTACAGCGGAATGGACAAAAAAGACGACCTGAACTTGTTCATTATTAATACATAGTAAAAAACAGCTATACACTATCCATTTTTAGTTTAAATATAATTCCTTAACATGAGTGATGTGAAATGAGAATTGATGTTGCGACGCTGAAATTTCAGCACCATTTTTTTATTTTATGAATTATTAAAAAAATAATAAATGAATACATCTCAAAGAGAATTAATTTTGAAGAAGATCGTTTTAATGAATAGTATCAACACAAAAAAAATTTGTCCGTTACAATGTTTCGTATTTCAATTTTGTTTTCATCCTTCCCCAAAAATTCAGTTTACAAAAACTCGTTGACAAGCCTTGCTATTTGCTATCTGTCATCTGAGCAAAACTCCAATTTACAATCAGCAACATCAAATAGCATATTGCAGATTGAAAATTACATTTTATAAAAATGGTTTGTAGAGAATTTCCTTTTTTAAAAAACAAAAAAAGTTAGCGAGTTTTGAATGATTCACATAAAATTTCCAAGAAATATATGCATGACCAATTATAATTGTCAAGGTTTTCCAATATTTCTATCGGACAAAAAGTGTTCTATTCTGGAATTAGTTTTTATTAATGATTGTTAAATTAATTAATTATAATTGTATTTAAAAAGTTAAGCCAAATCAAATCCTTAATCGATCTTCGACATTTTTTATAGTCGTCTCGATTAAATTCTTTTGCTCTTCTCTAGAACTATTATACTGAATAATATTTGCTTGATTGAAGGGGTTTTCTGGCGATTTCTTTATAATATAATTTAATATATTGGTAAAAATAAATATGTCAGAAAAATATATCTTAAAAAATTATTTTTTGATTTCAATCCTAACCTGAAAATTTTTAAATAAAAGTTCATTCAATTGTGTATAACGTAAACCAGGATTTTCTTTTTTAAGCCTTGGCATTTCGCGTTCTTCATAAGCAGCCAAAGCTGCCTATATAAAATAAATAATCAATTAATAAATTGCTTACAACAATAACAATAACAATATTCTTGTTGTTATCGTCTCTCCCCTCAAAAAAGTTTTATTAAAATAAAATTTACCTTAAATCTTTTTTCTGGATGTTTTTCAATAATATTATTTGAAGCATTTGAGATTCCAACACTATTTAGATTGCCATTAGGAAATGATGCTTCTGTGGCAACTGAAAGTAAATCTATTGCATCTTCGATATTTGAAGCTGAATATTCTGGTATCACACGTCGTTCTTCTGAAGTAACTTCTTGTTTTTGTGTTCTTTTTATAGCTTTTTTCTAAATAATTAATTATTATTTATTAACAATTGATTCGTATTGCTAATAATGCTTTAAATAAATAAGAATACGCACTTCTTCACCAGTTACTTTTGGAGGTTTTAATATAGGCTTATACTTTGATAATTCTTTCTCTTCTTGTTCTAACATTTTTGCAGCTTCATTTTTTTTGGCCAATAGAGCCTCCTAAAAATAAAATATTTAGAAAACTAACTTTATAACCATTTGTATTAATATAATAATAATAATAACTTTACTTTTTTAATTCTTTGTGCCTCTTGTTTAGAAGTATTTTTAGCTCCTATTCCCCATTCTTGAGATTCTTTACGTTCCTTTTCTACCTGTTTTTTAGAAGCAATTTCTGCTTGGTGTGCTGCTTTACGCTCTTTTGCTGCAGTAACTATTTAATTTTTTTCATATCAGAAAATTAGAACATAAATATAAATATCTTATATATATATATATATACACACATTATTTATGTAATAATCTTTACCTCTAGTATTTTCACCTTTAAATTTTTTTGGCATTTTAACAAATTTATATTTATCCGCAGAACTAAATGTTACATCATAAATAAAAATTTTTTGAAAAAAAAATGAGTAGTAGTGATAAAAATGAAACGGTTTTAGAAAAAGATTTAACAGATGTTGTCGAATCGTCGTCAAAGGAAAATCAAAAAATACAAGAATCGAATAGTGGTGTTGATGATAATGATAACAACAACACATCTACACATTCAGTTATTCCTAAAATATCATTAAGGAAACCACAAGATGAAGACAAACAAACTTTACGGAAAAAAGGGTCAAAACATTCATTAAGCACTGATATTACACCATTACCGCAACAACAACAGCAAGAGAAGGAGGAGGTGGAGGGGGTGGAGGATCAAGAGGATCCATCATTATCATTTATAAACCATTCAGAAGATGATGAATCTTTAACTGATAGTGGTCATTTGGTGTCCTCTATACACACAAATGAATCAGGATCTGATAATAATACACATGACGATAATAACATCAGTATTATTCACTTGCACCAACAAATAATACAATGATCCTTCCCTGTTCTTGTACATTATTCGATTTCTCGCATCATTGTTGTTGATACTATTGGCGTTACCGCTATTATTGTCATCATCTTGCATCATATGATTAGAATTATTATCATCGATGTTTTCAAGTGATTTTTCAAGTGATTTTTCAAGTGATAGAGCTGAATTTGAAGTTCGTACATCCTTTAAGTGGAATAATATTTCATTTTTCAACTCAAAATCATCATCACCACGATGATGATTATTATTATCACCAACATCAAATCCATTTACCGTCAACTTTGACGCCAGCAACTTCTCAGTCAAACCTCTCAGGCGATAGAATCTCGAATCTTTTAATAAATTTTGTCGTTGCACTTCGCTCTTAATCTCTATATCGTAACCTTGAAGATACCTCATTATCTCGGCAAATAAATCTGGATCACGATCTATCATTGATGGTTTTAATGATGGTATAAATGGTAATATCTTTGTAAGTGAATTTGGCGGTGGTTCCCAATTACATTCGAATCCTATTTTATTCATATATAAAAAGAAATTGTTTGCACAAAAAAAAAATAAACAATTTTTTTATATAAAGAAAATACATTATATAATTATTTTATTTTTTTTGCATATTAACCTATAGAAGTAAAATAATTTGGTGTGTCACGGGTTTCTAATAATTCTCGGTTGAGTTGAAATAGTTTTCCACCAACATTTATCATATAACCCATCCGTAATTGTTTTTTCAACTTTACCAAATTGTAAAATACTGCATCTGTCGTCAAATGCATATAGTGAACCTCATCTCTTGGTACAACATAATATCCCTGCAAATGTTTGATCTATTTATTACGTGTTAGCGAGGGCATTGTGAATAAGTAGATAAATGTTAGTTTCTTTATTAAGATGTGTTTTTTTTTCATATTAATATTTTGCATTATTCTTTTTGTTTTTTTTACCACTCACGATATCCTTAAATATTTCTGGGTCTCTATCAATATTCATCACTAGAGTCAATGAGTTAGCAAAGTAATCTGTAAAGTGATTTGGGCTGTCAGAGAAAAGAGATGTTGCCGACAATTGGAATGTTGTACCTCCAACAATTATAGTATAACAAACATCCAAAGACGCAAACATATTATCAGATGTAGTATTAATGGAGTTGAATGGTGTGGTGGTTGAGTTGTTTGCATTGAGTGAGCCAGGCTGGTTGAGCAAAGTTGTGTCATTAAAGGGGGCATTAATTATGGTGTTAACAGGATTAGATGTATTTGGATCAAGTGGTATACCAGACATTTTTATTTTTTTGAATTGCATGTCTCCGTGTAACATCTTCACGCATATATTAAGACATTTACGTGTATGTTTTTTTATGTCATAAAATAGAAAGTCATGGAATCCTTTAGAAAGTCTAGATTATTCACGAAAAAAGTTGTTGATCGATCTTTTGGAATCTTTTGATGAATTGATTGGTTATGGGTATATGTATTTTTTATATAAATAATACATATGTAAAAAATTTTTTTTAAATATTCGATAATCTTCTATATCAAAAAATCAAAAAAAAAAAATAATAAAATATAACGAATTAATATTAATTTTTTTATTATAAAATCATAATGTCAGTTGTAGGTTTGTAAAAAACAATAATTTTTTTTTTTAAAACAAAGATCAAAAATTCATTGAAAAATATTTTAATTAATTTATTCTTTTTTGTGAAACTAGGCATAGACCTTGGAAATCTTAATTCTGTAATTGCAGTTGCTCGTAATCGTGGAATTGATGTAATCTGTAATGAGGTTTCGAATCGTGCCACTCCGTAAGTATAATAAAACGTTGAAGGTGTATTTTATATATCATATTAATACACACACTTTCATACTAACACAACATTACGAATGAATTTTTTTTTAAAATTTAAAAAAGTTCATTGGTGTCATTTGGTGCTAAACAAAGATACTTGGGAGAAGCAGCAAAAACTCAAGAAATTTCAAATTTTAAAAATACAGTAGCTTCTTTAAAACGACTTGCTGGCCGTACTTATCTAGACAAAGAAATTCAAGATATTGAAAAGCAGTTCATCAATGCTGATTTAGTTGACGCAAAAGGTCAAGTTGGTGTTAAGGTTTGTATTAAAATATATATATATATATATATAAAGTATCTATATTTGTAGATTTTTATTAAAATAATAACCTAAACAAAAATTATACATGTGATTTTTTTTAGGTTCAATACCTTGGAGAAGAAAAAATTTTTTCTGCAACGCAAATGATTTCCATGTATTTTACAAAACTTAAGGAGATCACAACAGCAGAATTAAAAATCCCTATTTCTGATGTTGTGATTTCCGTGCCTGGTTGGTTTACTGATGTACAACGTCGCAGCATTCTTGATGCAGCAGAAGTTGCAGGATTAAATTGTCTACGATTAATGAATGATACCACAGCGTCAGCTTTAGGTTACGGTATTACCAAACCCGACTTACCAGAGGACAAACCTCGTAACGTGGTGATAGTAGATATTGGTCATTCCACCTACAGCGTGGCAATTGTCGCATTTATCAAGGGTCAATTAACTGTAAAGTCAACCGCGTACGATAGGAATTTCGGTGGTCGTAACTTTGATCAGTTGTTGGTAGATCATTTTGCGGAAGTGTTTCGTGAAAAATACAAGATTGACGTCAAATCCAACCAGCGTGCGCTTTTTAGACTTAGAACGGCTGCCGAAAAATTAAAAAAGGTGTTGTCAGCAAATCTTCAAGCGCCAATTAGTGTCGAATCGATTATGAATGATGTGGATGTTCAAGCCATTTATTCGCGTCAAGAATTCGAAGAGCTGTCTAAAGACTTGCTTGATCAAGTTATTGCGCCACTTAAGCAAGCTTTGGAAGATTCTGAACTTACATTGGATGATATTCACTCGGTAGAAGTTGTTGGCGGGTCGTCGCGTATTCCAGCAATCAAGGAACGTATTTCTAAATTTTTTGGCAAAGAACTTAATTTCACTTTGAATCAGGACGAGGCAGTGGCACGTGGCTGTGCTTTCCAATGCGCCATGCTCTCCCCAGCATTCAAAGTTCGCGATTTCTCCATACAGGATATTACCGCGCCGTATCCTATAAAGATTAGCTGGGAAAAGATTCCAGAAATACCTGATGAAGAGTCAGAGCTGGTCGTTTTTCCGAAATTCAATCCAATACCCTCTACAAAAATCCTGACTTTCTTTAGGAAAGAGCCATTCACCATTGAGGCACATTATGCGGAACCAGATAACCTTCCACCCGGAATAAATTCTTGGATCGGCAGCGTTACCGTCAAGAATGTACAACCGATGAAAAATGATGACTTGAGTATGGTCAAGGTTAAGGTCAGACTGAATATTCATGGGGTGCTTAGTGTTGAAAGTGCATATCTTGCTGAGGAGGTGATCAGAGAAGAGAAAGAAGAGCAACCAACACCAAAGAAAGAAGAATCAGAAGCTCAACAAAGTCAACAACAACCTCCACAGTCACCACCATCACAACCACAAGATCAGTCACAACCACAACCAATGGATACAGATACCAAACCAGAAGAAACTACCACACCCACACCCAAAACAACACCAACTAAAAAACTTAAAAAAGTAATAAAGAAGGATGATTTACCCATTGTAGCAGGACATGGCGGATTAGATAAATCGGCCATTGTACAACTTAAAGAATATGAAGGGCAAATGATGGCAACCGATAAACTTGTAGCAGACACAGAAACACAAAAGAATGCACTCGAAGAGTATGTGTATGATATGCGCTCAAAGGTTGAATCGATATATTCGGAATTTGTTAATCCATCAGATAAAGACAAATTCATACAATCGCTTAACGAGACGGAGAATTGGCTTTATGATGAAGGGGAGGATGCAACCAAATCGGTGTACGTTGAGAAACTCGAGGGTTTAAAGAAGTATGGAGGTCCGATTGCTAGTAGGTACCGGGAAGCAGAGGAGTTGCCTAATGCAGTGAAATCGTTACGTGATAATATAGAGTCATTTATGTTGAATAGTAGTAATAATGATGAAAAGTTCTCACATATTCCTGACGAAGAGAAAAAAGGCATTTTTGATAGAGCACAGAAAGCGTCAGATTGGTTGAATGAGAAGCTTGAGGCACAATCTAAAGTTCCAAAACATGAACAACCTATTATTTATTCCCGTGATATTCTAAAAGAACGAGAGGTACGTGCGGAGGCTTGTTTTTGGATTTTATTTTTGTATAATTTTATTTTGTAATAACATTATTATTATTATTATTATTATTATTATTATTATTATTATTATTATTAGAATCTTGTACAATACGCTACACCAATTTTATCTAGACCTAAGCCAAAACCAGAGCCAAAACCAGAAAAAACTCCAACACCACCACCTACCAATACTGAACCTTCACAAAATCCAGAAACACCAAAAACAGAAACTAGTGGTGATGATACTAACAATAATGCCACCACTAAAGGAGAACAAACACCAGAATCAACAACTTCAACTGAAGGAAAGAAATTGGATGCTGGTCAAGGTAATATGGATGTTGATTAGATACCACCACCATCATTGATTATATATATTTTTTGTACATGATTGTAGATTTATTATTTTTCATCTCATTTTATATTTTTAAAATACGAAAATTTTTAAAAATAATGATATTAGTAAGATATTTGTAATAATTATATTTTTTAAATTCATTTTTTGATGAATAGACTAATATATATATATTTAATAATTTATATATTTTTAGATTTTTTTTTCTTTGCATTTATTAAAAAAAAAATGAAATAAAATACT